GCTCACAATTACTTCTGGTATGCTGATTTAATGAAATAAAGACCTCAGAAAAATTGTAGAGAAGCAAACACAGCAGACTCTCTTGCTTAGGAGTTTAGGGTGCAACCAGATTTTACCCCACTGTGCTTGGAGGTAATTCTAGATCTTCCTCCACTATACACGTATTCTATAGATAATCTAGTCACTACTTTTTTTATTATTTCTAACAATTTAAACATTTTTTTGATATGGAACTTTTCATATTTTTTTCTTATTAGCGTTTTTATAATCAATCACTTCAAACTATTTTTTACTTCTTATTGGGGCCAATACTTACCTGTTAATGTCAGCTGGTGACTAAATGCCAAATACGAGTCGCTTAGACAATGAATATTTTATATGTACGTCCCCAAAGATAGGCAACTAAGAGTACACATTTCAGTTAAAATGATTCGGCAATTTGTTAGAAAATGTTCTGTTATAACTGATATAAATTGAGAATCATTGTCAAATAATCATAAGATTTCACTTGTTTAATATGTTTTTCATTTAGACTTTAAAGTTATTTGAAAGAAAATCTATTTTTTTTTGTGTAATAGAACTTTTTTAATAGATGTACATTCTATATTCTGTACGGGTAGGTATATAATATAAAGAAAGTTCGCAAGAACCATTCTTTTCCGAACCACGTGAGGTTATGCCTTCATATATACATTATGTGCCTGCCGTAAAAAAACATTGTCGTAGAAATACTTCTTTGTACAGAGATTCTTCAGCTCTTCCATTGCTTTCGCACAGGGTCTCTTCGACCTTTAACTTTACCCATCAAGATGACATTTAGGAGATTATATTTGTTATTTCATAGAATAAGCTACAAGCATAAAACCTTACACTTGTTAACGAGATCTAACAATTATCTTTGGACATTAGCCCTTCTTACAAACTCATCATTTGTTACATCGTCCATTCATGGAATTTTAAGCAGCCTTCTGAGATACCACATTTCGAAAACCTTCCACACGACTTCGAGATCTCACTTTAAATAACCAGGTCTCACTTTCTACATCAGAATGAACCATATGTAATAATTCAAGGCCCGAACTCTTAGGGTTAAAGGAACTTCCCGGCGAAGTAGGTATTTAGAAAATTTAACAAAGGCGTTACTAGCCATTGCTACTTTTATCTTTATTTCTAGGTCACAGTCCCTCTTGGTGTTTAATGTACCTAGCTCTATTATTTATATGCAACTGAGCTTCAATATGGTTGTTTTTCGCTACGTTGACTTAAGCCAGTACTCATTGCCTACTTCGTTTATGATATTCATTAAATTTTTCAGCTCCTTTATATTATCCGCTATTATGATCGTATCGTCAGCATCCCTTAGGTTATTAAGATAGATAGGGAAGACCATTAATTTTGATGCCTTTTTCGTTGAGTTGTACAAGCTAAAATATCTTTTATATATAAATGTTTAATAGTATATACGCGCGAATTTGGGGGCTCTTATTAGATACAGCCGACGCGACGTCCGCCCTCCCCAATAGTGTCGCCTTTTATTCGTCTCCCTGGCTATTGATTGGATGTTTGTGGTCAGTTGTGGGAGATAGATTTCTTAGAGAACTAGTATTGCTAACAGGACCATGTGACGAGTTCAATGTCAATCTAGGCGTCCTTCTGACCTCATTTTTTATTGTTCTTTGCTTGTTTGGGATCGGTTTCTGTAATTGTTGTACTCCCATTCACCTGCATTTAAAACATCTTCTGTTTTCTTTTCTACTTTTTTATTGAAAATTTTGTAGTATGCTTAAAATTTGGGATAAAAGAGATTGTAGCTTATCTGTGGTTGTGATTTCTTTATTTTTTCGAAATCGTATTTCTTTTCATTTTTGGCAAGATCTGGAAACGCTTTCGCCGCGTCATACTCCTAGGCTGAGATAGTACTCTATTTCAGTTTGTGATGTAATCGGTGAGCTTATTGAATTGACATCCCGTAGTCCAGAAAATGTTTTGGTGCCTAAGGGTACGCCAAATGTAATAATCTTTTAATTCTTGCAGGCTTTCATTATGCTTTTGATATCTAACTTTTAACTGACTTTGGAAAAACTGCGTTAGATGCTGCTTGGAAGTTATCTATCTATCTATATAAGGATTTTTACAGCTGTCGCCGCCTTCCTTCTTTCAGCCAACGTCTCCAGTCCTTTCTATTCTGCCATTCTCCATCTCTAAGGTCTCGTCTTTCCATGGCCTCGTCCACTTCATCCCTCCATGATCTTCGGGGTCTACCTCTTTTCCTCCTTCCTATTGGGCTCCAATCCGAAATCTTTGCTATCCACCTTGTATGATCTGTTCTTCTCACATGTCCTACCAATTAAATTTTCTTCGTGCTGAGTATGTCTTGTTCTACTGCCATTCTTCGTTTTATCTCCTCATTTCTGATGCGATCTATTTTTATCACTCTGCAGCTTCTTCTCATAAACTCCATTTCAGTTGCTGTGATTTTTGACCTGTTTCGTTTATTTATTACCCAATTCTCTGCTCCATAGGTCATTATACTGCGTACCATTCGTATAATACGTATTATAAATTCTCTTCTTTGTATTTCTGGTAATCTGTCTATCCCACAGTACCCCGTTCATTTGTTTAATACATGTTCTTGTCTGTGCTAATCTGCTGGTTATCTCTTGCTCGTTGGTTCCATTTTTTGAGAGTATGAATCCTAAATATTTGAATTTTTCAGTGCCGTTAATTTCCCTATCATCGTCCATTTCCAAGTTTCTCACTGGTTCTTGCTCTGTTGTTGAATATTCGGTCGTTTCTAGGTTTATTTCTAGTCCATTTTTTGTGTATTTCTTTTCTGATTTTTTGGAGCATATAGCACAGATCTTGGTGTTTAATGTAGCTCTATTATTTATATGCAACTGAGCTTCAATATGGTTGTTTTTTGCTACGTTGACTTAAGCCAGTACTCATTTCCCATTTCATTTATGATATTCATTCAATCTTTCAGCTCCTTTATATTATCCGCTATTATGACCGTATCTTCAGCATATCTTAGGTTATTAAGATAGATAGGGAAGACCATTAATATTCGGTCCTTTCTAGGTTTATTTCCAGTCCATTTTTTGTGTATTCCTTTTCTGATTTTTCGGAGCATATAGCACAGATCTTCTTCATCTTGAGCCGTTACCACTTGGTCATCTGCAAAGCTTAATGTGTACAAGAAGTTGTACCGGATTGGTATTCCCATCCCTTCACATTTCCTTTTCCATGGTTTTAATATTTGTTCGAGGAATATCTTGAACAGTGTCGGAGATGTAGAGCATCCCTGCTTGGAAATTATCTTGTCTTTAAAGCTTGTTGTTGCTGCCTGTCCTCGAAGCGACACTACCAAGGAAGCTATTGAGATAAATTATTTATGATTTCTACCTCTACTTTTCTAAATATCTTCTCTTCATCTTGCTCTTCTTGTTTTCGGCTCCTCTGTTTCTCTTCCTCTTCTTGTCTCTCATTTACCCTTTCTCTTCTTACTTGTGCTTCTCTTTCTCTTTGTGTCTACGGTTTTCTCACCTTATCTAGTCTTCTCCTTTTCCTCTTCCATTTTTAAAAACCATGCGAGGGTACGGACGGATCCATTTCTTTACCAAATTCACTAGATCTAGTATTAACCATTAACAATTACTTTTACCTTACCGCTATCACCAATATTCCAATTCTTTAAAATCACTTTACTTGAAAACAACAATGTAACAATACTTGATTACAACTTTAACTCAATGACAACTATTCAAAAACGCAATTACTACTGGTACTTAAACTGTCAACTTCCTATATTGATTTTCTGAAATTACGAGATTTTTTTATGACACCTCGAACATTTAAGATTTTTAATACTTCTTGTTTTTTGTAAAGAGACTTTTTGGTATGGAATAAATCTTAAGGAATTGTCGTAGTAGACTGCGCTCTAGACTTCCACCTCTTATCAGCACCAAGGCCCTAACACAAAATTACTTTTTCCTTGCTGAATGCTTGAAAAAAGAATGGGAAAAGCAGGCCCTTCCAAAACCCAACAACTTATTGGTACCAATGAGCAAGCTTCCAGGTTTCCATCTGCTTCGAAAAGCTTGGACTAAGCTGTACATAATGAAAACGAAACAAGGATGCTGTGTGGATCCTCTGTTTAAATGGGGTTCAAAATGTGGCTGCGGTTCGGAGAAACAAACAATTCACCATATCGTAACAGAATGCCCTCTAAAATCTTACAAATATCACATCCAGGAAGTCGATCAACAAGTGACCGACTTCCTCGATAGTTGAATCCAGATCTTTCTAAAACCTGCCTAAAATTGAAATATTAATGTATTTTCATTATCAGTAATGCAATAGTACTTTTTTCTTTTTTAGTATCTATTGATTAAGCTGGTTTTTGTTTAAGGTTTTTGTGAGCATTTATCAAAACATCGGCGACATAGCCTCGAAAATGTACAACTTTTAATACAGAGGAGACGGCTCAATTTCACTTTAGCGCTAATATGCGCGAATCAAGGAGAGAGAGAGAGAAAGCATGCCAACAAAGACAGAAAAGATTATCTTACAGCTGAGTGTCTCTCTACCTTGGCCCTTCAAATACCACCGAGCAGCTAAAGGTCAGAGCGTTCTCTATACTGCAACCATTGATTTAAGAAGGCAATACCGATTTACGAAAATCGACATGTTTTAGAACTAAATACTGTCATTCACTGTATACCTTTGAATCCCAGTAACTTCTTGTTTTGCTTTTTCTTGAATACCTATTGTTCATGTATATAGTTGTTGTAATAATCTACAACTGTTGAAATAAGATTAAAACTATGTAAGAAAGATTCAAGAAGTATGTATAGGAATTATATTTATTCTATTAACATTGGAAAAAAAACACAAAGCACTAAAATTTTAGATTTTATTTCTTTAATTTAAAATTAGAAAAGTTGCTCCCGTAATTATCACATCGTTCGAGTTCTTGCCGCTATGCGATCACATTGTGTTTATTCTAATTTTTTATCAAAATCTTCACATTCTTCGATGAAGTTCCTAAAAAATAAAAGTATATATAAATAAACACTGCTATATAAACACATCAAAGGTACACAGTTTTTTTCTCAGATACAGGGTGGTCCTTAAGTAATTGTACAAAAAGAAACTGCAGATTCTACACTTTAAAATATTACGATTTAAGCCAACTTGCTTTAATAAAATGTTGATATTAAAAAAGATACAGGGTGTTAAAGTGGAAAGTTAAAATTTTATTTTTCGCTATAACTTTCATGTTTTTAAACATTTATGTATAAAAATTTACAGCTGGAGATTATTAAATATCAGAAATTAAAATTTGATGCATACTTTGATATAGCTAATAGAGGGCGCCACATATGCCACATACGTGGCATACATTTGCACGTAACTTTTTTGTTCTTCAAGTTACCGGTATTTTTGATAAAAAATATTAAAGATACATTATTTTAACAAAAAAAGGTATATCTGTTAATAACTTCAAAACTCAACAGTTTTCGAGATAATCGCATTTTACAAATCAACTGCATAATTCTGATTTAACGCAATTACTCCAGGCAATGAAAGAAAAATAGATAAAAACATCAATACTTCTGAATTTTGTTATAAAATACCTTTAATAAAGTCAATAGTTAACGAAATATTAAATAAAATAAATATATCAGCAGGATAATTATTAATAGGATTTGATAAAATAACAGAATAATTGGATTTTACATCGAACATTTTACGTTTTGTATTAAATTAAAGTCATAATCAAAACATTTTATTTACAAACCAAATTAAGAAATAGTTAAACTAAATAACATTAAACTTTTTTTCAATGTAAGTGTTCGATATGTCCACCATTTTCTTTAATTCATTTGTCAATACATTCCATAAAATATCGTCTCATATTAAATAGCATCATTGGTTCTAAAGAAACTGCTGCAGCACTTATTATAAGTATAATAATAGGTATTCTTTTGGGATTTTTATGAATTAAATAATTATATTAATATCTCACCACATGGCCAAGGAATACTACCACGAACAATCCAACGTTCAAGAAAGTTGTTTTTAAATATTGTTCTCACTCCTCTTTCTCTGTAATGTATTAGTAAACCATCTTGTATAAACCACATATTTAGCCTTAAGTTTCATGACAATTCTTCCAATAAATCAATAAAATCATTTTATAAAACATGTAAATAAATATCCCCATTTAAATTGAAAGGTAATTCGCATATCCGTAAAATATCATTAAAAATTCATATTTAAAATGCATGTCCTATGGTTTGAAACCATTGGTAATTATTTTTTACGGATATGCCAATTACCTTGCAATTTAAATGTCGAGATTTATTTACATTTTTTATAAAATGATCTTATTGATTTATTGGAAGAATTGTCATCAAACTTAAGGCGAAATATGTGGTTTCTACAAGATGGTACACCATTACATTACAGAGAAAGCGGAGTGAGACAGTATTTAAATACAACATTCCTGAACGTTGGATTGTTCGTTTTAGTTATATTCTTATGGTGAGATATTAATATAATTATTTAATTCATAAAACATTCAAAAAATACTTATTATTATACTTATAACACTTTAAAATTATGACTTTAATTTATACAAAACGTAAAATGTTTGATGTAAAATCCAATTATTCTGTTATTTATCAAATCCTATTATTTTATCCTGCTGATATATTTATTTTATTTAATAATTCGTTAACTATTAACTTTATTAAAGATATTTTATACCAAAATTCAGAAGTATTGATGTTTTTCTTTAATTTTCTTTCGTTGCCTGGAGTAATTGCGATAAATCAGAATTATGTAGTTGATTTCTTAAATGCGATTATCTCGAAAACTGTTGAGTTTTAAAGATATTAACAAGTATACCTTTTTGTTGTTAAAATAATGTATCTTTAATATTTTTTATTAAAAATACCGGTAACTTGAAGAGCAAAAAAGTTAAGTGCAAATTTATGCCACATATGTGCAGGGGGGGTTAACTTGAATAGTCTTGTCAACGGCAACGTTTTTAGTAATATTTTCTAGCACAGATGTCACTCCAGGTAATGATTGATGGTGACCTGTAATTTTTAAAAAACACAAACAGTGTCATCTGTCATCCGCATGTCATCCAACGGATTGTTGAATATTCAAATCTCGTTTTTATTGTGATAAATGTGATTCTTGTCTTATAATCTGTGTTGTGATCCAAATCCAAAGACGATATAATATATGTGTCATCCTATGCAAATATAAATGTATGTATAATTCTTCTTCAATAACCTATGTATATTCTTTTCAATAATGATATTGTGTATGTTAATAATGAGTCAGATAAATTTTGATATTTTCACGTTTGTATTACTATAGTTAAAATTGTTATTTTTCTTTGGACATTGTTATTTGTATTTTATGTTTTTATATCTCCACCACCACCATAAATAAAACACTTGTACTATATAGAACATTTTTATTTTTTTCCTAGCTTGAGTGAGATTCAACCTTATTCTATCTTTCTTCTGTCATATGAACTATGAACTTCACATTTGCCAAATAGAATTTTTATGATTTATTTACTCATTGTTAAAATTATGTTATGCAAATGTGTGAAATGAATTACAGCAATAATGGTTTGTTTTATAACCATTAAATTTTAATTCCTATAATTTAATAGGACTTGTTCAAGATGGTGGTAAAAATAAAATTCTTTGCATCCGAACGTTTCGGTTTATTTCATTTCTAAACAATTTTTAACGAATTTAACTTCAAACACGACCAACACACTTGTATTGTTAAAAATGTGATAGATTGAAACGTTCAGACGGATATATTTTTATTTTTACAATTTATCTTGACAGTGTCCCTTTAAATTATAGAGAATTCCTACAATAATTTTGAATTTCCCGCGTCATATAAATTTGAATTTCCCGCTTCTCATTAACAGATTTCTGTCTTCTTTTTTTTGGCCTTCGTTAAGGTAAGTTACAAAGTTATTAGCATTTAGTGTAGAATTCTACCGTAGAGGGCGCTGTAAATCGTATCGGCAATTTTTAACATTAAGGTTGGCGATCTTCTTGTCTTATAATCTGTGCATATGTGGCATATGTGGCGCCCTCTATCAGCTACATTAGAGTATACATTAGATTATAATTTTTAATGTTTAATAGTACCCAGCTGTAAATTTTTATACATAAATGTTGACAAACATGAAAGTTATAGCGAAAAATAAAATTTTAAATTTTCACTTTAACACCCTGTATCTTTCTTAGTATCAACATTTTATTAAAACAACTTGACTTAAATCGTAATATTTTAAAGTGTAGAATCTACGGTTTCTTTTTGTACAATTACTTAAGGACCACCCTGTATATACTAAGTGACATAGAAATCCGAACACCCAGTTTAACTGATTTTATTTCAATCAAATTTGGTGTAATTTATTTATCTTACTGAAAAAAAACAATGATGAAGTTTTTAGCTTTATCAGTTGGAGATTCCGGTTTTTATACTTTTTGTTTTTAAATTCACTAACAATCTAAAAATGAATATTTCAGCCGCAGTAAAGATCCAAATTTAGCGGATTGTGGTTCTTAACATTCTTTACGATTGGTTACGATGCCTAGAGTACAAGGACCTGTACGATTTCGTCAACTTAGTGAGTTTGATAGGGGTCGTATAAACGACAGACCGTGAAAATCGCCGCCTAAGATTATTGGCCTTTCTCCACTACCAGCTTCATTGCAAATGAATAGTTTGCAGAACACGGAAGACCTATTGGCATGCGAAGTGTTTACCGACGAATGAGAAGTTTTGGCCTGGTTTCATACTGACCACATTGGGTCCTCCCTTTAACTCCAGAACACCGCCGTAATCGCCTTCAGTGGTGGAGAGAACGGTCACTCTGGAATCAGGAATGGAACAGTATTGTCTTTAGTGATAAGTCTCGATTTTGTTTAGGCATGCACGATGGTCGAGCGAGGGTTAAAAGGCGACGTGGTGAAAGGAGGAATCCACAGTTTTTTGTTGAAAGACATGTTCATCACACTGTTGGAGTTATGGTTTGGGTGCTATAGCTTATGGTTCCAAGTCACCTTTAATCTTCATCAGAGGTAACATGAACGCGGTGAAGTTTTAGAACCCCAACTTTTACCCTATCTTGACACCCTGAGGGATCTATGGAGGAGTATCACCGAGCCGCAAGCCCTTATCTCTTGCCGTACTGCTCCACCATAGGCCGATCAGACACCAGCATATTCTAGTCTAAGCCGCAGATTCATTTAGAATTTTAAACTGCTGCGTTAGCCTTTTTGTTTTCTGTACACCGAGCTGGGGATCGAACTCACTTCCTCTGAACCACTCGCAGTGAAGCGAATGAGAAACCGGCCGCTCAGCCCGCTTGGCTATCTGACCGACTTCGATTCAGTATAAACATTTAAAAATATACTTACCCTGTATATATTGGTAGATCTGGAGACTTATAAATAAACATGTGCCTATAGCCATGTGCCTCAAGAAGATGGTATGTGACATTTCCTTGATATGAGTAATCTCTGTTATTTATGGCAATGTTGTAAAGCTGAAAGTAAATTTGAAAATTTGTGGTATATAATGAGATAAATTATTAAGATTTTTATAGGTATTAGAAAGATTAATTCACATTAAGTAAATAATATCAAATATTAGTTAATATTTAACTGGGTAAAGATTGTGTGATATCGAGTAAGTAATTGTATCTTCATTTGTAAATATATTCTTCAGGCAAGATTGCTGAATAAGAGGCAGCCGTGTATGATACATATCAATAATAAGCTACTACTGCATGAAACCTCCGAGAACGATCTTAACAACTTGAATAATTGCATCATAAACGCCTTACAAGAAAGTCACCGAATGCACGGTCCTAAAAGAAAATCAGATAGAATTAACTATTCAAGACAAAGTGGTAGTACTGGTGGAGAAATCTACGTATTTGGGTCATGAAATAGGAATCAGCAGGAATAAACAAACATGTGAGAAATCCAAAGACGAATTACTTTAGCGTCGACAGCCTTTCTGCGAGACACACTTAGGGCAAACATACCAATTAGCCTCAAAAGGTCATGACCTATGGGGCGGAAACTATGACTCTCATCAAGACTACGGCTTCGAAATTGAGAAGTGGCACAGAGACGAATGGAACGATCTATGCTGGGAGTGACGTTGCGGGACCGAATAAGAAACGAAGATCTGCGAAGAAGGACGAGTATTGCTGATGTAAAACGCATTTTTTTTGAACCTATTCTCTATCCTTCCATTGTTGGATATAGGTCTCCCCCAGTTCTCTCCATCTTTCCCTATCTTGAGCTGTTCTCTGCCATGTGGGACCTCCTTGTTTCCTGATGTCATCTTTCCACCTCATCTGTGGTCTGCCTCTTGATCTCTTTGCATTGTATGGACGCCACTTTCCGATGGCATTGTTCCATCGTCCGTCTTGGAGACGTTCATTGTGTCCAGCCCATTTCCATTTCAGTTTTGCTGCTTGTTCTATCGCGTCTACTGTCTTTGTTCTGGTTCTGATCCACTGGTTACGTTTTCTATCTCTAAGTGATACACCCAACATTTGTCCTCTCCATCGCTCTTTGTGCCTTCCTTATCCTATCCAAATTGGCCTGTGTAAATGTCCATGTCTGTGCTGCGTAGGTTGTAACGACAATATTTTGCCTACCACAGGGGCATTAATATAAGGGGTAGAAAATTGGGGGAAGAAACTATTGGGGGTGAAGATAGGGCAAGCAAAATATACGTTACTTGTGCGAACGGCACTCAGGGTTTCGTAGGAGAGCTGGGGTCGTGGATAAGTAAAAGATAAGGGCATTGGAATGGGGCAACTACAAAAAAAGAAATAAAGGGCTCTTGGATAAACAAAATAAAAATAAACAAGAAACACCTCAAGGAATTTAATATAGGGCGCCACTTGAGGTGCCTAATTATGCCTATTACAACCACTAGTTGTAACTAGGGAAATAATTAGAAAACAAAATCAAAACATAAAAAAACATATCTTTTTCAAATAAACTCAAAAAGGGTTAGCTCAAAAAAAATAAATAAAAAGTTAAGAAAATAAAATTTAACTTTTATTTATGTGTCACCACAAACAGTTACAAAACAAATGATAATTACAAAAAACAAAATTGAAATCATATAGATCTTTCAATGCAGTTTACATTAAGGTCAACTTAAAAAAAACAAAACAAATTCAAAACTTATGGTTAGTTATGTGTATAAGAATAATTATTATGACAGTTAGCCAAATCCTAATTTTTATAATTTTACTTATTACAAATTTTTCAACTTGTCATGAAAGCAATTATTAATGATAAATGTCTATTTTTTCTTTAAAAAAAATTTAACAAAAAAAGTACCTGACTTCACCAAATATTAGTTTTGGGGCTGGAACTGGATTTCTAAACGCTGCAAATAACACAAATGCGTCTCCAAGCTTCAGAATGGTCTGGAATGACCAGGGACAAACAAATAGACGAAGGAAGTTGAAGTTCGGCTGGATCATCGGGCTTCGGGTCAAAAAAAAATTGCAAACTTCTAAGCTTGGATTTTCAAAACTTCATTGAAAATACGATGGCCTCTTATATCGTTGTAACACCTTACAAATCTTCCATTTAGGACATAATACAACACATATAACTTTCCACAAACAGGATCTGTCGGCTTTCTGAAGATTACACGCCGAGCTCTTAACTGCTACCACACTACACATTTTCCCATGACAAATGACAAAAAAAAAACGAAAAAACATTACGAATTTGAAGAAAAATTCGGACTCCAATAAAACTACAAACGCTCTTGACAGCGGTTTCACCGAGAGTGACGAAATTAAAAATTTGTTCGCTTAACTTGAAAATCAACGAACTGCTGAAATAGCAAAACCAACGAACGACGTAGATATCCTTTGAAACGCATTTACATGAAAAGAAATCGCCGCAGTAAAATAAACAACAATTAAATGGATTTATTACTCTACGACGTTAGAATGATTGAAAACACTTTTCGAAAGATACGAACTAAAAAACAGAAAACATTCTTCGTTTTATTAAGACGATTTCATATACGAGGCGACTTTAAATATACTTCAAAGAATCAATCAAATTTAAAATGCTACAAGGTGAGCACCGGTATTATACAGGAGTTATATACCTTGCTTCGTAAGTATAGAGGGATTGTTTGATTTTTTAGAACGTAAGAAAGTTTGCCGAACGCTGCCCATCCCATTCTTACTCGTCTCGATATTTCGGCTGTTTGATTTTCTCTATTAGCTCTGATTGCTTGTCCTAGATAGATATACTCATTTACCTGTTCTATTTTTTCTGTTTTTATTTTTATTGCCTCTTGGTCTTCCGTGTTTGTCATTACTTTTGTTTTGTTGAAGTTAATTTTTAGGCCTTTTTGCAGTGATTTTTCATGAAGTTCATTCAGCATTAATTCCAGTTCTTGTCGTTCCGAGGAGATCAGGAGTATATCATCCGCATATCTAAGGTGATTTAGGTATTTTCCGTTAATACATATTCCTCTGTTTTCCCAATCTGTTGATTTTATTATGTCTTCGAGGGTCAAGGTAAACAGTTTAGGTGAAATTATATCGCCTTGTCGGACTCCTCGTTTAACTTTTATATTATCCGTTATTAATTTGTCGTCCAGAATTACGGTCATGGTTGCGTTTTGGTAAATATCATGTATCAATTGTCGGTATCTTGAATCTATTCTACTATTGACCAGAGCTTCTTCAACCGCCCAGTGTTCAATGCTGTCGAAAGCCTTTTCATAATCTACGAATGCTAAGTACAGCGGAAGGTTGTATTCATTGGTTTTCTCAATTAAGATTTTAAGCGTATGTAGATGGTCGATTGTGCTGTATCCTTTTCTGAATCCGGCCTGTTCCACTGGTTGGTAGTTATCAAGTTTATAGGTTAGTCGGTTGTTTATTATTCTTGTGAAGGTTTTATATAGTTGTGACAAAAGGGAAATAGGACGGTAGTTGTTTAGGTCTGTTCGGTCTCCTTTCTTATGTATTAAGATTGTGTTGGCATTTCTCCATTGTTTGGGTATTTTACCTTCAAACAGACATTTGTTGAACAGTATTTTTAGCATTTTTTTTATCGTGTCTCCTCCTTCTTTTAGCAGTTCCGCCAGTATTTTGTCCTCACCGGCCGCTTTATTTCTTTTCATGTCGTTTATGGATTTTTCGATTTCATCTTCAGTTATTTCTGGTAATACCTCTGAGCCAACATTTTGTATTTTCCTCGTGAGATTCTGTTTAGATGATAGTGGTGGGTCATTTTTAGAACTGTATAGGTCTGTGTAATATCTTTCTGTGATTTTTACTATTTCTCCTAGATCTCTTTCTTCATTGTTCTCAGCTTTAAGCATGATTAGTTTTCTTTTTCCTATATTTGTCTTCATTGTTTTTAAACTTTTGTTCTTCTCTATGATTTTCTTAATGCGGTCTTCTTGGTATTTCTTTAAATCTTCCTTTATCTGTTTTCTTATGGTTTTATTCAGTTCGGTATACTCCACTGTATTTCTTTTGTTATCATTCAGTAGTTGTCGTCGTTTTTTTAGCATATCTTGTGATTTAGCGCTAATTTTTTGTTGTTTTCGCTTTTGTTTATTAGCAATCTTCAGGCCTGCTTCTAGTAGTTCTGTTGTTATTTTATCGTTTAATTCGTCTAGTTGCAGACCCTTTAGCTGTGATATGTCACTTCTTTTTAGCTGGTTTATGTATTGTTCTTTGCGTTCTTTAAGAAGTTCTGTATCTATCTCTTTTTTAGATGGTTTAAATTTTTGTCTGTCTGTTGTGGAGTTAATTTTGATTTTGGCTCTAACAATTCTGTGATCACTTCCTACGGAAATCATGTTTATGACCGTAACGTCTTGTACTATGCTCTTTTCTTTGGATAGGATGTAATCAATCTCATTTTTTGTTAAACCATTGGGCGCGACCCACGTCCATTTTCTCTGTGGTTTTTTATTGAAAAAGGTATTCATCGCATATAGACCGTTCGTTTCCATATAGTTCATTAATGTTTCTCCTCTTTCGTTTCGTGTTCCATATCCAAAGTTGCCGATTTTATTTTCTGATTCTTCTAGTTTTCTCCCTAATTTGGCATTGAAGTCGCCTATAATGATTGTGTAGGTGCTTTTGTATTTGTTCACTGTTTGTGTCAATGATTCGTAGAATATATCCACTTCTTCATCCGTATGTGATGATGTAGGGGCGTAAATTTGTATGATCTTTAAACTTATATTTTTATTTATGTCCATTATTAGAGCCGCAATCCTTTCTGAAATTCCAATATATTGTCTAATCTTATGGACATGCTGATTAGAAATAAGAAAACCGACACCAGCTAATGATTCTTCTTCAGTTCCTTTATAGTATAGTACATTCCCGGATTCCAACTTCATACAGTAAAACGCATAGCGGAACTAAAATGAAATTGGGCAGGCCGTGTAGCGAGAATACATGACTCAGGATAGAGGAGTTTAAGGGAGGCCTGTGTCAGCAGTGGACGTGATAAATGAAGGCTGGATGATGATGTGTATGATAGCAAGAACACATTTTGATCTTTGAAAATAACATAATTAGAGAACATAATAAACTGCGGCTTCGTGCAGTAAAGACGTGTTTCATCCTCCCTTAACTACTTAACATTGAAAAAACCTGTCAACACGGTTACCTTACAAATTATTACAATTAAAAAATACTGTGTTGAAAGGAAAATATAAATAAATGAAGTCGACAAAGATGGATTGTCCAAATAAATTTCACCCAAGAAGTACCAACATTCATTTGTATTAAACTAAATTACTAAGTATAATAATTACCTCCGTAGCGAATGAATACGGAATAATATCGTCGTCTTTGGCGTGGACAATCATGATGGGACAGTCTACATCCAAAATATGTTTTGCTGAATCGAAATTAAAATCGTTGTCTATCATAGGTTGTATCAAAGTTGATCTGAACCAAGGCAGCCACGAGAACATCTGAAAAACAACATATTTTAGTAACTAGTATAGTAAATATGCCCGTTACTATTTACTAACTATTTATAAGAGGTCTTGGAAAGAAAACATCGTCCGATCCACCCGCAAATCAAAATCCTATTGTCAGAAATGTTCGTGCCAACCCCCGCACCAATTCCCACTGTAGTGTTGAGTTTAACACAAAGCAGATCAGTTATTTCAGTCTCTCTACTTCATCAGGTGTTCGAACTGATTCCGATTCAAACCAAAAAGTCTAACTAATGTCTCCAAAATCTTCCCACTTACCACTACCTAAATTGGTAGATTAGGCAGTATTGAATGACCTCATCAATGAAATAGGTGACCAAAATCACGAGATAAAAAGATGTATTGAAATTGCCAGGTATAACTTTATAAAAAGGAAAAAATTATTTTGTAATCGTGACATTAGTATTCATCTACGAACTAGAAACTGCTATGTATTCAGTACTTTGCTTTAAGGTGTTGATGCATGGACTCTTAAACAGAGGAATATTAAAAATTTTTTTTTTTTTTTTTATTATAACTAATAAATTAACAATCAGAATAAAACAATATATTCTATAAGTTAATGTGATGAGTTTAAGTCCTGTCCCTTGGTTCTGGCGTGATGTGGTCCCCTCCAGTGAGAGAATCACGGGTCCATGTTACTGGTCTGTTGGCCAACGTCGCTTTAGTCTTCGGATAACTTGATGTTGAGGTATTGCGGAAATTAATGGGTTGGAGTGTGTGTTCACTTTTTGAATGTATTGTAATTTCTTTTGCTGGTATACTTCTTTCACTGTTGAGATATTGAGATCCTCATAGATTCGTTGGTTGGTTACGTACCAGGGTGCATCAACAATTGCTCTTAAGATTTTTGATTGACATCTTTCCATAATAGCAATATTAGATTTACTACTACAGCCCCACAGCTCTATGCCATATGTCCATATTGGTTTAATAACTGTTTTATAAATTAGAATTTTATTATTTATTGACAGTTTGGAGTTTTTTCCAATTAACCAATTGATTTCTTTTTGTCTTAGTTGTATTTGTTTTCTTTTTTTGGTGATGTGTTCTTTCCAACACAGGGTTTGGTCCAGGTGTAGCCCTAGGTATTTGGTTGTTTTAGTCCTGGGTATTTCCTCATTGTTGATATATATTGGTGGTGGTGTTTCTCGTCGTAAAGTGAAAGTTACGTGGGTTGACTTGTTTTCATTAATTTTTATTTTCCATTGTTTTAGCCAGTTTTCAAGCTCATACAAATAATCTTGGAGTTGTTGTGTAGCTATGTTAATGTGTTTGTGACTGGTAAGTGCTACTGTGTCATCTGCAAATGTGCCAATTGTTACGTTATGCGAAGTTGGTAGATCAGAAGTATATAATATATATAATAAAGGTCCCAGGACACTGCCCTGTGGAATTCCCGCCTTAATGGGATGCATTTTAGATATTTCTCCATTTACTTTTGTTCTAAACTGTCGGTTTTCCAAGTATGATGTAAGTATTCGAAAGAAGGGTGGTAATATTTGTTTAATTTTATAAAGAAGTCCTTTATGCCAAACCTTATCAAAAGCTTGACGTACATCTAGTGATACCATTGGGCAATATTCCTTTTCTTCTAATGCGGAATTGATTTTATGGGTTATTCGGTGGCATTGCTGGATAGTTGAGTGTTCTCGTCGAAATCCAAACTGAAAATTTGGTATCCAGTCTGCGCCTGTAAGGCCTGGATCTATTCTTTTTATTAAAAGTTTTTCTAGTAATTTGGAGATTGTTGATAACAGACTGATAGGTCGATAGGATGAGACTTCACTTGGATCCTTTCCTGGTTTTGGAAATAAAAGTATTTCTGCAATTTTTAGATTGTTAGGCCAATAATTACATCTTAATATTGCGTTAAATATATATGTAAGGATCACTATACCCTTTTTTGGTAATTCCTTTAGCATTTTTGGAGTTATTAGGTCAATTCCTGGTGACTTTTTGATATTTAGTTTTAAGATTTCTTCTTTAAGTTCTTTGGGTGTTGTTAATTTTATTGGATTTACTGACGGTTGTTCTGAGTTTAAATAATTAATAATTTCTTGATCTTCTTCATTGTTGTGTGGTTGGAATACTGTTGCTAAATGTTCAGCAAATAATTCGGATTTTTCTTTATCGCTTCTTGCCCATTGGTTCTGTGTGTTTGTGGTTTTTCTTACTGGTGGCGATATTGCTTGAGGTTTTAAGGATGATTTGATTGGTTTCCATATTGAATGGTCGTATCTATTAAGTTGTGTTACATATTTTTTGACTGACTCTTCTCTTGCAATTTTTAGTTGTGTTTTTAATTTATTGGCTAAGCGATTGTAAAACGTTTTATCCGCTGGGTTCCGACTTTGTTGCCATTTGGCTCTTGCTCTTCTTTTTTCAGCAATGAGCTTTTTAATTTCTAGTGGAATATTTATTCTATTCTCGATTTTATTTTTATCTGCATCGTTCGGTGTCGCTTCTTTTGCAGCGTTTTGTAATAATGTCATAAAGTTGTTTGTAGCTGCTTCTATTTCTGAAGGGCTTCTTAGTCTTACATTTAGTTTAATGTTTTCATCCAGTATTTTTCGGTAAACGTTCCAATCTGTTCTAGGTCCATGCAGTTTTGGAGTAGGTTGTTTGTTAATAACGCAGGTGCTAATTGTTGCAATAATTGGTGAATGATCTGAAGATAGATCATAACTTGGAACTATGTCCATAAAGGTGTTAGATATTCCTTTTATGATGCAAAAATCTAAGAGGTCTGGTCTTTTTTTGGGGTCCGTTGGCCAGTACGTTGGTGTTCCTGTTGATAAATATGAGTATTTATTTTCTTGCATTAAGCTATAAAGCTCTCTCCCCTTTGTTGTTATTAATCTTGATCCCCAGTACGTGTGTTTACTATTGAAGTCACCAGCTGCGATAAATTTTGGACCTAGAGTATTGAAGAAGGATGCGAAATCGGTTTTTTTAATATTGTGCTTTGGAGGGCAATACACTGCTGCTATTGTTATTTCGTAAGGTAATGAGCACACTTTAATTACTGTAGCTTGGATACAGTCTGTTATATAACTTTCCATCATGAAATGTTTAATTGATTGTTTGATCAAAATTGCTGTACCTCCATGGGCTGTCTTGTCTGGATGGTTAGTATGGTACGTTAGATATTGAGGTATTTTAAAATACGATTTGTCTGTAAAATGTGTCTCACTTATTAATAATACATCTATAAAATTTTGTTGTAGAAATATTATCACCTCGTCCTTATGATTCAGCAGGCCATTGGCGTTCCATTCTGCTATTCGTAGAAAGAATTTTATTTGCATATGAGTTTACTTAGCATGTTTATTACCATGCTGTTTTGTTGCAAGATTTGATTAAACATGGCTTTGAATTCTTCTAAAAACTTCATAAGAATGGTGTTTGAATCTTGGTTATCTGAAGGAGCAGCAGGAGGTTGTCTATTACCCGCTGCATTAGCATAGCTTACATTTGGTCTTACTGTGTTGGGTATAAAGTTTCTGTTACGTGCTTGCGACATATTTTGGTGATGATTATATGTAGTTTGTGCTATATTTTTATTTCTATTTAAATTACGATAATATTCGCATCCTTTATAGTTAGCTGGGTGATCTCCTCCACATAAAGCACATGTAGCTGGTGTGTTCTTGTTCTTTTTACAACTGCTTGTACTGTGCTGTCCTCCACATTTCACACAGACATATGGTCTATTGCAATATGTTTTTGAATGGCCATATAATTGACATCTCATACATTGGATGATATTTTTGTTTTTTATAGGTGGTTCAATTTGTATATTGCAGTGTTGTAGTTTCTGAATTTTATAAATATCTTGGTTATTGTCTGATGGTTCAAGGTCAACAAAGAACATATTTATCGGCTCTTTTGTAATCCTATGTTTAGCATTAATGATGTTTCTTACCTTGTGACCCAGTTTTGTCAGTTCTTCTTTGATGTCTTCTGTTGCATGTGAATAGTGAAGGTATTTAATTACGACTCTATAGGCCCTTTCTTCCTTTGGTTGATATGTGTGATGAATAATGTTGTTCTCTCTCATATATCTGGAGAATTTTCTGTATATTTCTGGATCGCTACAAATTATTTTGACTGTATTATTTGCCATAGTTCTGGTTTCGTATTGTTCAGCTTCAGCTATTTCTGTAAATTTTTTCCTCATTTCTGGGAAGTCGCTTACATCGTAAACAAATATTGGTGGTGGTTTAGGTATTCTTGGCGCTGTTTCATTTTGATTGGTTTCATTTTCTTGGGTATCCGTTAGGGTATTATATTTGTTCGATAGTGTAATGGTATCATCTTCTTTGTCTGTTTCTACATTTGATCTGATTTTTCTGCGTTTTGTAGTTTTAACTACTTGCCATGAGTTATTTGTTGACACATTTGCACTTTCTGGTTCGTCATCGCTTGTTGATGACATTCTGTAGTATTGCTGGCTATTTCTGTTATTTATATTGCTGTTGTGTGCCGCGTTTTGTTGATTTATATATTGTTCTTGATTGGGCGGAAATATCATATTCGTCGAAGAATTAGTGGTTGGTTGATTTATTTGCATATTGTACATACCTGGTATTTGTGATGAGATTTGTGGATAACCCTGTATATTGTTGATTTGTGATTGACCCTGTGTGTTGTTTGGAATCTGCATTTGTGGGTAACAATTCATTTGGTTTGATGGATACTGGATTGGTAATGGCTGGCTGTTTACATTTTGTATTTGTTGGCTAACTATGTAGTTGTCGAATCCTGGTCCATTTCCCGTTGGAAACATTATAAATAAATTACTGTATTGAATATTAAAAATCTTGAAAGCTTTGAGATGTGGTGCTATCGCCGTATACTAAAAATAAGTTGGGTGGATAAAATTACAAATGAAGAGGTAATACGCAGAATAAATAACGATCTAGAAGTTATTATGAATATAAAAAAGAGAAAACTTGAATACTTAGGCC